GCAGCTGGAGCAGGAGAAACAGCAGCGCGAGCAAGCAGACGCAGCGCGCGAGCAGACGCAGAGCCAGCTGGAGCAAGAGAAGCAGCAGCGCGAGCTCGCAGAGGCACAGCTAGAGAAAACAACACTTTACGAGTACCTATTCTACTGCCACCTCTACCTCACTAAGCCTATGCAGGTCGGCAGCGCCGACAAATCGACCCAAGGTACCACAACCAAGGTCACTGGCAGATGCTACCCTGGCAAGATTCTTCCGTGGGAAGACTTTCTTAAATCTCAGGAAGATCAGTTTAACCGTCTCCGACATATCTTTGGTGAGGAGAGACTCTTCACACCAAGGTCACATATTGAATCATTAGGTGAGAAGGTCTGCCGAAAAGAGCTTAGATCTGAAGACGACCTCAAAATCCACCAGCATTCAGCAATTCAAATACCAGTTGAAGATATTTTTTCTGTCAGGTCACAACATTTAGACTGGGAGGATTTAAATATTGGCAACGGCTTGGTGTTTGAGAATCATGAGAACGCCCTCAAAAACTCGAGCAAAGAAGTTGAAGGGGCCTCCCAAAGCCTCTTCAAGAGTCTACCTAAAGACCAGCTCTGTAGCTTTATATACAGGGGCGGTGTCCATCGACTGGCATTCATAATTGAATATAAGGCACCCCATAAGATCTCAGTTGAGCAATTCCGCGAGGCGCTCTGCAAGCCAAACCTGTGCCAGGATGTTGTTAACCTAGGAATAATCAGCAATGATGCAACATTGAAAGCTCAAGAAAAGGCTAATAAAATAGCTGCAATGATTTTAACACAAATATTCCACTATATGGTTGAGAAACGTCTCCCATATAGTTATATCAGCACTGGAGAAGCATTTGTGTTCCTCCAGATTAAGGAAGACGAGGAAAAGACAGTATATTACCACGTGATTGCAAGGGAGGATGCGTCGCTACCAGACGTCCCAGATTCCTCAGATATCCATGCACGACGGCCGAGTATCTTCAACACTCCTGTTAATCAGGTGGCATGCTTCTGCTTGACGGCTCTTCAATCCGAGCGGTTCAGCCATGGTTGGCAGGTAAAAGCAAAGCACGTTTTACCAACATGGCCAGACCGTCTTGAGGATACTGGTAGAGACGACAGTAGTGTGATAGATGATGGAGGAAAAG